TCTAACATAATACATAATATACATAAACTTTTAACATAATAAACATCAACTCTTAACATAATACACATAAATTTTCTGTTTCGGATGTACATAATTGTATAAAAAAAGATGTACATGATTGTATAAAAAATGTACATAATTGTATAAACAAATACACATAATTTATAAACGAATACACATAATCGCGTTAACTCTCTACATAATTTACCAAAACGATGTCGTTTTGGGAGGCGCGAAGCGCACAGTGCTATGCACGCCGTGGTGCAGGGTATTACGATTGAACATCCCCTTCTTATCCATCTCTAAAATTTACCTTTTCAACGGTACACGAATTTTTGTGACGTCTACTAATTACTAACTCTATATTAACAATCTTTTATTATATTTAAATTTATAATCATTCTTAATTTTTAATAATAATTTTTTTTTTTGACTTTAAATGGATCATGTCCACCATCACTGAATAATACAAAGTGATGTGATAAATACTCTCCGGTATATAGATATAAGTGAAAATTATAGTATAGTAGCTCGAGTAGTTAGGACTAAGGGTGGGATGGTCCCGAGCTTATAAGTACTCAAGAGAGAATATACTAAAAGTCCCCTTCTAAGGTACCGGATGCATATATGTACCTTATATAGTGGGGCGAGGCTGCGGGGGACACATGCGGGGAGCTCGGCATGTTAGCCACGTGTCTCGCATACACCAGTCCCGCGTGGGGCGGTCTTTGATAGGTCCACGTGTACGACAATTTCTGACTGTCCATTTATTAGAGTACGGCCGGGATCAGGGGTCGGTTTTGAATCAATCCTTATGATAAAATATGTTTAGAATCTTGGGAGCCAAGTCGGGCCGCTATGCTCGGGAGCTAAATCTCGAGCACCGGGCACTGATCCTTAGCAGCATGGAGCCTTAGTAAAATATAGCCTTAGGCCCGTACTCGGGTTGGACCAAACACATACGGGTCGGTCTAAGTCAGGAAAGGTTCATCCTGATATACAGGGTGTAACTCGAGCAGATACAGTTATATATTATCGGGATATATATCCTATCACAAAGAAAATCGATTTAATATTTATAAGGTTCTAGGCCAATTGTATGCCTCAACCAGGCTACAAGTAATTAATAACAGAGAATAAACAATCTAGCCAACCATCTAAGTTCCATGCCCAATTGGATAGTTAGTCAATAAAGTACTCATTCTAGACGGGTGGAGAAGACAAGCGATATGTATGACTATTTTCTAAGTATGAATTGATGATGTCTGAAGGAGACACAAACCCCCTTATGTAACCACGGAGTATAAGACACAAACCCCCTTAGGCTCATAATTTGAATTTCAAAAGTTGTATGTGAATGACTAAAGACCACTGAACTCCCATGGCCTTCCCCGTAGCCTTCAGGATTCTCAACTATCCCAAAACTCGCTGCTATATCATGGAAATCAACTAAATAATCGTGCATAGCTAGGCCAACTATATGGAGGTAGAATTCATAGCTCTGGATCTAGCGGGACAGGAAGTTGAATGGTTGAGAAATTTATTATCTGGCGTGCCTTTGTGGGAGTATCCAACACTTCCTGTACTTATATGCATTGTGATTCACAAACTATCATTTGTGTTGTGAAAAACAATGTCTATAGTGGAAAAAGGAAGAAACATACAAGTGAGACATGAGTCTTTAAAGTAGTTATGTGAGTGAAGGGGTCACAATAGAATATGTGAGATCCAAAAGGAATATTGATAATATATTCATTAAAGGCCTAAATAGAAAGATAGTACTTGAAACATCAAGGGAAATGGATTTGAAAGCCACGAGGTTGGGAATTCATGATGGAAACCACTTTTGTGGTCAAACAAAGTCATAGAAACACTCACGTGGATACTCAATTTACTCATGACTATAAATTGAACAAGTTTGGTAAGGGTGAAAATAAATTGTTCTAATTGACTTGATAGCTGTTAGAGGTGGTCTGTGCTAAAATCAATCATTATTGTGTGGACCATGGTCCACACAACTTGTGTGGACCATATTTTGTTTACTCTAAAATAATGTACATTCAGTACAAAAATAATGTACATTGTATTCAGGGGATGTACATTATTTTTGTTCTGAGTGTACATTATATTATATAATGTACATTCAGTACAAAAATAATGTACATTTAGTATATTAAAAATGTACTTTTTGTTATGGTACACATAACATTGTGTAATTTGCCTGCTAAGATAGAGTTGATAAAGTCACCTACTTATGATAAGTCCTAATTCTATTATACTAGAAATAATGAGTCCAATTCTAATTATATTGGGAATAACAAGCCCAATCCTTGACAAACTCTTGAGTTGGTCCGTATCGTGTATCTTTCTTGGGCTTTCTTGATTCAGTTGCTTTCTTAGGCCAATCCATATGGCCCAGACATAGAGTAGTCTTACTAGAGCATCTATTAGGGCAAATTATATCGTGCACCGCGGTGCATAATCGATTATACATCACGCGTCAGACACTACCATGTTTATAAACCGACACTGTCAAAACGATGTCGTTTATTTAATGAAAAGAAACAAAATCTTCGCAAAAAATAACTCTGTTCTTTAGTTTCATTTTGTATACACTACAGTTTCAGTTCAACACAACTACAGTTTCATTTCGATATAACTACAGTTTCATTCAATATTTATACACTCAAATATGTGAAAATGTTATTTAATTTTATTTTATATACACTCTAATTTCATTAAAACACAATTACATGATCATTTGAATATAATTACAACTTCATTGTACAATATACACTCAAATATGTGAAATGTTATTCAGTTTCATTTTATATATATATAGTTTCATTTCACCACAATTATAATATCATTTTGATATAACTGTAGTTTCATTTGATAATATAAAAATAATATGTGAGCCAGGGTTTAGACACACTGTAGTGTCTGACGCGCGGTGCATAATCGATTATGCACCGCGATGCACGATATAAGGACCCATCCATTAGCAACCTAAGGTAAAAATAGTCAAAATAGGTTTTGACTTTCGCAGAACTTGCAAAATTTCAGAGGTGATGTGTTGTCGAGTTAAAAACTCATCTGTTAAATGAGTTCAAGCGGTATCTCACTATCCGGAAGGTAATTACATAATGTTACTGTGTTAATTCAAACTTTTCATCGCTACCACTAAAATACAACCTCCAGTGAACAGCTCAGACAATTTTCCTTGTCTCCACTCTGAATTTGTGATGGATTGAACAAGTTAGGGAAATTCACCTTTAATTTAACATTGTCCCACATTAGAAACTCAAGGTGCCTTTTCCCTCTTGTTAAGTGGTCTTGTCCTTTTGCTTGTAGACCACTTAAAGGCGAATCTCCCTAACAAGCAAAAGGGAACAAGCAACTAGTAAAGGGAAAAAGGAATAAGACATTGTGGTTAAGCCGTATGGAGTGACTCTCCTAAACGGGATATCATGAGTTTGAGCCTAAGTGGAGGCAGTATTGACTCGCTGGACTTCAGTAAATTGAGAAAATATATATGCACAGATACTACATGTAAGTCGAATAGATACTACTCCGTACTTTGTAATAGAGTCAATAGTACTAAAAAAAAAAAAGTATTATCTTATTTCAATATATTTTTGGTCAAATCATTAGTATTGCAACAATACTATATACACAATTAATGATAAATTACGATATTGTAAATTTTTCCCTAATTAATATGGATATTATACTTGGAGATTATTTATGCATTAGTTGAACAATTTTCTAAAAAGAGTCTATTTATGTGAAACCATCTCAATGATTAATCAATAAGACGAGTTGAATTTGCTCAATTTAAGATAGTTGTTTATTACTTGTGATAGAAATCATAATACTTATTACAAAAAATTTAATATCAATTTAAAATAAATAAACTATTAGTTTTAATAGATATTGTAATATTTATATGTGAAACTAATAGATATTGTAATATTTATATGTGAAATTATGAAAGTACTTTTTAGGATAAAATGATTATTATTATTATTATTATTATTTTTTTCTTTTTTTTGAAAACGGATAAAATGATTGTTAGTAAGGATAAATATTCAAACTCTGATCTCATATTTCTAAAAATTCGCAGTGGGTGTTTAAGGAACGAGTAGTATTAGAGTTTTCTCAAACTTTAATTGGTGGTGTCAAATCCTTCAAATTAAATCATTAACATAAAATAAAAGCTTAAACAATAGAAAATCAAGTACTTCATTGCTTAACATTCCACATTTTACAATGTAATAAACCTCAATAACCAGTGTAGCACAAGAATAACCTGAGGGTGTGGTTGAGTGGAATGGCTCATCCATCCTATACCAAAGGTCAAGAATTCGATCTTTGGCTTTGGGTATGGAGTAGCCTTAAATCTCCAGACCAACTGTCCCACTCAAAAAAGGTGCTTACAATTCAATGAGGGATTAATCACTGTATCCGACGGTGGAAAGTCAGAGTACACCCAAAAAAAGTGTAGCACAAGAAGCATTAAGTTACTTGTCCCCAAAAGGCAAAATTCTCTCGCCCTCAGGACCCCCACACCCCAGCCCAGTAGAGGGGTAAACTACAAGGCAAATTATGACTCAACTACCCATTAGGTGGGAGGGACCAGTGTTTGTACCCGTACCCACTCCCACTCTACAGTTGTAGGGCTCAATCTTATGTCTTTATCTACAATCTACCACTCAAGAACCAACTAAGCCCTACAGTAGAACCATTAAGTTCCTGTTAATACTGCAAAAGCACTGGGCAGCCCTAGTTTTAATTTTTAACATTGCCTACTCAGATAGTTCAATTATAAACCATTTAATAATTGAGAGAAGTATGTAAACATAAGATTATACTATTCATTGCAACAGTCAATCAGTCATCCATCCCTTTCCCCCCAAAACAAACATCAAATAACAGTGCAACAAAATCCAATCCCTTTAGAAATGTACAAGTCCTTTGTAAGATAATGGTTCCCGATGTCGAGCAGTAAAACATACTTGAAGCTAAAATAGATAAAGAATTAAAATTCATATGTTGAAATTTAAAAAATAATTTAGATTCAAACATTCTATTTCCCGTGTATGCCACAGCCAAAGATTCATTAGCTACGTGATTTAAATGCAGGCAAGGTTAAATAACTTTGTACTTGAACCGTTTTTAACCACAGCTTAATTTAAAATTTAAGAACTAGTGAGTAGCATCAACAATTAAAATCCTTTCTTCTTATTATGAGACAAGATGAGGGGTTCTTTCCTCATGATTAAAGATGTTTCACTCTGTAAATACCAAATAAACTTTGCAAATCATAACCTCTTTTCAAGAGGAGGCCTCATAGGTTATGGCTAATAAGTTGAATCTATCATTATTAACAAACATGTAACCATATTTTACAGTACAGAAAATAACAAGTGCTCCAAATACTAGAGCAAAAAAGTAGAAAGAACCAACCTCTTACGGTGAAGTTTACTGATTCTTTTTTGCCTTAGAAACAAAAGAAGTGGATCTTCGATCTAAACTAGTAGTTCTAACAATGAAAAGAAGTGTTTCTACAAGCATGCCAACAACCAGTCCAAGGATGCCACCAGCAGCACTCTGAAAATGGAATAGCAGTGATGTCAATTAAACCAAATAAGAATTAAGTAAAAAGCTATGATGTGCAAACTCTAGGCAGAAGTGGTGGTCTGCTCCAAAATTCATCCTGTGACTGTCAATAAATATAAAGATAGTCATTCAAGTTACCATTGCAGGACTGTGACTAAATAAAGCCTTGAATGCAGCATATCCAACCAAAAAGCCAGTGAACATTATAAGAACAACGTGCATGCCTGCCAACAAACCAGATAGCAGTTAAAAAATTAAATTGATTAAGCTGATCCTGAAAGGGGGCATAAATTTAAACCACATAGCAAGACACATGCTCACAGAATTTAAAAGTAAGTAAATAACTAAAGCATTGTTCTGATCTTTGAATGTCCATTAAAAAGGATTTTGTTCCATCCATGAAACCTAACCCCAAGGGATAGATCCTTAATTCCGCAGTTTCTCAAAGATCAACATCTTCAAGTGAAGTAGATACGTGCAAATACTATGTGATAAAAAATAAAGTAAAGCAGTATCCTGGCCACTTTCTTCGATTCCTTTCCCATCTCAAATGCACCAAACCGAGTCATTCAAGAAGGGATTGCAACCAGTTCTCTACTCCTAGACGTACCAAGCTACAAGGAAATTCAGTTCTGAAGCTGGAAAGTATGTATTGGTCTAGTTAAACCATGGGATCCGACTCCTGACATGGGAGCCAAATGAAAAGATAGGGCTTAGCACAAGAAAGATCATAAAGTAAAAAATGCAGGGAACCCTAATGTTTCTTTTGCCACTTTAGGTATAATTTGGTGTGTTGCTGAAGTTAATGTATAGAAAGTAATGAGTCTTGGTACTAGGAGTTTGAAAATCCAATGGTTAGGGGTAATGATCTATACTTTAACAACAAAGCTTACACTTGAAGCTACTGTATGCTCTATATGAATGAAATAAAACTTGTGACAGTAGCAACAGTAGACGGAGGGTATCGGTTATCTAGTGAAAGGTTATAAACACGCATGAATTCAAAAATTAGAGTGGCATGGAGTTTCTCACAGGACACTTATATTAAAAGGTATGCCGTAGAATTGTTTAGAGCCCAATGCCTCTCATTTATTCTGATCTAAATAATCATATCCTCCATGAGTTAATAAATATGTACCCATAATGAACTCCTAAAATTTAAATGCTTTTGCATGATTTTCGGTCACCATCCAATAAATAAATGGCAAATGCAAAAATGAAAATGTTGAGTTCTTTCACAACATTGTTGATTGAAGTATTGAACTACTTTCTTCAGTCCTAGAACCTTCCCAAAATGAAATTCAAACTTAAGAATAAAAAAGATGACTGTAAAACACAAAGAGCTCACTTTTTTTTTCTCTAGTATCCAATTTCCAGACTAAATCAATCCAAGACTGCATCTTCCTACTTCTAAGTCTTTTCACACACTCAATCAACAGATGAATGGCTTAACATTACCTATCTAAAGTTGAATGAACCTCAACAAGGATTCACCACAATCAACATGTCACTATCTCAAGTCAGAAAGCATACCGACAGCACTGAGATAATTTCACATCTTTATGATCAAATTTTGCATTATGGATAAGCATACACAATTTACCAATAAAATACTATATAGATGAGAGCTAAAATTCCATATTGTATCAGATTCCATACTTTAGATAGATAGATAGAGGGAAAGAGGTCGTCGGAGCTCACCAAAGCCTAATTGATCCTTGTAAGAAGAGAAAGGCTCTTCAACTTTCTTCTTGGGGGTTATGTCCTTCACCAATTCCTCATAGGCTTTCCTCTCGGATGCCTCCGCCAGTTTCCTTAGGCGAGCCTTCAATTCCTCGCTCTTCTCTCTGGGCTTAGGGCTTGAGAACGCGAATCCGGATCCGCACAGAAGGGAAACGAGTTGAGGTCTTCTCGACGGGTTCGATCCAATCCAGATGGAGCGCAGAGCTCTGTAGGGCACGGAGGCTCGCTGAGAGAGTGAGGCGGCGAGGTCTCTCAAGTCCTGAGATAGGTTAGCGTCCTGGGTAGATGCGGCGAGAAAGGAATGGATTACATCGGTGGCTGATATAACCAGGCCGCCGTCTACCGCTGCCGCAGCGGTGCTCGGAGAAGTCGCGCATTTTGCGTCGGCGGCGACCTCCATTTTTGAAATGTTCTCTTTTGTTTTCTGGTTTTGCAAATCTTTTTGGTGCATACGTGCTTCGCTATATTAAAGAAAATAATGGTTAAAAGGGTGGGCGTTTTGGGTTTTGGTTTTGTTTTTATTGAGTTTTGGTTTCGATTTTTGTTTTGATTTTTTGATTTTAAAAAAATTAAACTATTCGATTTAACATTAGAGTTTGGTTTGAATTTAATTTGGTTTGGTATTTGATTCAGATTTAAGATTCTCAAATTTCAAATTTCTTAATTTTTCGAACATGCTGTCAAATAATACATAATCACATAATCCAAATCCAAACTCTAAACATTATATAACAAAATAGCAATCAAATCCAAACACAATACTAAATACTAATTATCAAAGTGTTGGAAAAAATAGCTTAAAATGGCATAAAATGGCATGTTAAGTTGCTATTTTGTGGTACAATTATCAGTGGGATCCACTTCCGATTTGGGTCGGGTCAAAGTGGATTCGGATTCTTCGTAGTGGACGAAGAGAACGATATATTGTACGCTCAAAACGGATAATGGGTGAATGAGATATTGATTCTCAAAGTAGACACATTTTAGTTGGAAAATGAAGGGAAAAAGTGTTCTTTTGTCCCACGTTGCTTTGGAATGAAGATTTTCCCCTCTTATATACAAGAGCTCTTTTGAAGCTTGTAGAATTGTATAGCATAGAGGCTCTCTCGCGCAGGGGGGGGGGGGGGGGGTGTGGTGGTGCAAATCAAATTCCAACTAGAAACGAGATCGAGAGGCTTGATTCAAGCCCGAGCTCGTGTGCGCGGGCACGAATGTCGTCCGGAAATTGACTTGCCTTGCGGGCTAAGTTATGCCAAACTTCGGTATCATTTTCCAAACATGCCACTTGTAGTTTCGTCTCCCAGCAGCAGCAAGTTTCGGCCAAACTTCGGTATCATTTTCCAAACATGCCACTTGTAGTTTCGGCTCCCAGCAGCAGCAAGTTTCGGCCATATACGGTCGAAACATGTCCAGTACTTTCGGCCTTGTGGCCGAAATGTCCTGAACAGGCCGAAACTGGGTAAAGTTACGCCAACGGTCTGGAACCTGAAAGTTCTGACTGTTATGGGGATTGAATTCATCTGTTACGGAATTAATATCCTATTAACTCTAATTTTGAATTCTGAATTCAATTCCCAAGTAGTGGGCTGCTGTTATAGCTGTTGGAAGGCAGCTTTAATGTCATTTTTAATTGCCATAATATAGGCTATTGGCTCCTTCAACCCTATATAAAGAGGGTAGAGGCAGTGGAGTTGAATATACAAAGTAATAGAACACGAAAGTTCTTCTTTTTGCCTCAAAACCTCTCTGCTTCTACTCCTTCTTTAGCTATATTGTGTTTATAGTCATTGTCTTGCTCGCCGGATTCTTTGTTTGAATGCTCAAACATTGAATCATAGCAAGTTTTATCCTGGGAAGCCTAGGCCACAACGCTCCTAGCATCTTTGGGAGGTGGCAAATAAGGTTTTAAGGAAAGAGTACTCACTTGACTCTTGCAAAAACTCAACACCAAACACTAGCCATTTTTTCTCCATCTTTCCTTCCCTATTCATTCCAGAAAAATAATAATCTTATTTTTTATTATTATTTGTGTTTTCTACCAACGGTACCAACACAAAGCATAGTAACTTTTTTGCACAACCGACTCTTCAGTTGGTTCAGTTGGAATATTTTTATTGACAAGATGAATAATCATCTATTTGTATGGTAGATATTAGAAAAACAAGTATCAATTACTATATAGTTAATTTTTAGACACAATCTGTCATTGCTAGTGCACTGGATTATTATTTTTCAATGCACTCGAAATATATTCCAGTATTAGAAAATAATTTCAATGGACTGGAATTCAAAATTAGAATGATGGTAAAGCACATTAAATTTATAGAAATAGGAAACTAAGGAAAATATTGAATATTATAAATATAACTCAAGTTAGATATAATTGTGAGGTAAAGAACAATTGCGAAAAACAACAAAAGTACAAAGTAGAGAACAAGCTATAGAGAAACCAAATAAAAAATTTAAGGGATATACCAGTGAGAATAGGAACTGAATGGTGGATCATGCATCAAGGGACTTGGATTTACTTATTATTATTATTATTATTATTATTATTATTATTGGAAAATGGCGAGTTTGGTCCCTGAGTTATAATGGTAGTGACGACTCAATCCCTGAGTTATGATCGTATCTATTTTTAGTCCCTCAGTTATGAGCGAAGTGGCGCATTTGGTCCCTAACCGTTAAAACTGACGAAAAAATTAAAAATATTTAAAATTTTAGGGGCAAAGTAGGAAAATCACATTTTTTCACTTTCTTATATTGAAAACTAATTTTGCAACATTATTTAATTTATTTTCAACTTCTTAGCATTCTATTTCAAGGTTCTTCAATTTCAAAGCAATTCAATAATATTCGTATGACTTGTTAGTAACCTAAGTCTCGTATAAGAAACATGTGACTGAGTACAAACAAGAGAATAGAGCCGTCAAAAAGGGGTTTTACCCGCCGGGTCGACCCGTCCCGTCCCGCCGTAGGTAGGGGGCGGGTTCTTGATTATTTCACCCGCCAGGAAGCAGGCTTTTTAGCCCGCCCCGCCTGGGTCACGGGCCCAAGCGGGGTGGGTCAGGCGGTCCGCGGGTTTAGCCCGCGGCCTGCTAATCTATATTAAAAAAAATATGCAGTAGGCTTTGCAATTCTCAATTTTCCAAATCAATGATGATAGAGATCAAGAAGAAGAAGACCATGATATGAATGATATAATGGTTGATGAATTATGAGTTTTAGAAGTTTAGTATTTACAAAACTATTTTATTTAATTCTTAATGTAGAATAGAAACTTGAAAGTTTGGATAATTTCTTTTAGTTGTTAGTGATTTGAATTTGTATTAATATTTAGTATTTAATACATGTTGTTAGTTTGCATGTCATTTTTTTAAAATTAAAACAGTTACACAGTAGTGTAACTACAAGCCTACAGTATAGCAAATCTTTTCTAATTACAAAAAAATATTGGCTGGCGGGCTAGGCTGCCCTGCTAGCGGGCTTTGGCATGGCGGGCCGGACCGGCCACATTCCAAGCGCGCTAACAGGCGGGCTTTTTAGCTTGCCCCGCTAGGGGACGGGCTTTGGTGTGTTTTGGCCCATCTCGCCCCGCGAGACCGTTTCGACGGCTCTACGAGAGAACACTTGATCATTGTCTTCAAGCACTTAAAACACACCATCAAAGTTTCTGATTTCCCTTACTAAACATAATGGTAATCAGAACATAACTTTTGAAATACAAGAAGATATCAAATTTCTCAGTTATTTTTATGACAAATTCACCAAGGGAGTAACTTGAGATTTTTAATATGTAAAATTCTTTCGTAAGCTCTGCAGTAACTTAATCAATAATCGTATATCCTAACAATATATGAAAATTTTATTATATATAATTATATATACACATCACCTCCTCTGTCTTCTTATAAACTAGAGTAATGAATGAGGAACTTATGACTCAGTTATGAAAATTCTAAAAACTTTTGTAACTTCTAAAAATGATTATTGATTGTTGCATATAAAAAAATTTTACATACTAAAAATCTCAAGTTATTCCGTTGGTGAATTTCTCATAAAAGCAACCCTACGAAATTTGACATCATTTTGTATCTCAAAATTTATGGTTTGATAACTTTTTGTTGCTTAGTAAAGAAAATTGAAAATTGATAGGATAGTGTGTTTCACAGGTCTGAAGACAATGATTTGTTTGTGCTAAGTCTTAATTTTGTTATATGAGAGCCAGGTTCCTAACAAGTTCTACTAAAGTTATTGAAAATGCTTTTAGAATTGAACAATTTTGAAATAAGAGGCTAAGAAGTGAAAAATAATGTTATGAAAGTGGTTTTGATTAGGGCCTGTTACGAATATCTAAGGCCTAGGCCCAGGCCTGAGCCTGTATGTAGGCTTTTTGTTAGGCTCAAGTCTGAGCCTACAATTAACCTGGTCTGGCCTGAAGCCTTTTTAATATTTAGGTCATTAAAAATGCTTCAAAGTAAGTCCTACCTTGAGCCTATTAAAGCTTACATGTTAAGACTTTTTAAAAACTTTAGTATATCTAAACAATATAAGAAATGTACCTAATACAAAACTAATACATAATTACATAAGTATATCACCACAATGCAAACGTAATAGCAAATAAATATAAAATAAAACAAAACAAGTCACGACTTCAGCATGCTCATTAACTTGTTTAGAAATAAATTCAATTGTATTATTGTTTGTTATCCTATATAATATCGTAAATAATTAACAATCAACTCACATAATTAAGTTGTGACATTTCATTAAATATTATAATAATAAGAACAGTTAATAAAAAAAAAATTACACAATAAGAACACTTATAACATGATTAACAGCAATGTTTATAGTTGAGTCATAATTTAGAATGAAATTTTGGAGGTGCGGGGTTAGGGTTTGGTAATTATATATACTTGGGACTTGGGATTATATTATAAATAATATCCTCTATTATAAAAAAGCCATAAGAAGCAGTAAATGCATTTTTGGCAAAAATTCCCGCCCACAACAAAACGGCGCCGTATACATATGATAGTTGAAATGTTTTTTTTTTTTTTTTTTGTTTTTCCGTCCAAGCATTGGTTCTGTCAATGGTAATAAATCACCGTCCAAACCTTATTTTAAAAAGGGTAGTATTCAGATTGTTTATGCCTCTGTATATGTGAAAGGAAAGAGTACGTATTAATTGCCTAGGACTATGAAACGTTTTGCTCAGTCTTCATATTTCCAAGACATGAATCCATCTTCATTGTTCAATACACAGCACTACATCTTCAGCCTCTATATAAAGCTTTGTTGATATGAAGAAGCTTTGTTGATATGAAGATGCACACCCATATTCTCCTGTGATGCACTTCTGATACACCTTGGAAAGCATCCACGAGGAGGAACATATGAAGAACACAGTTTCTTGAAGATTAAGGTGAGCACCTGCACAATCTGCTAAAGCTTTACATATCCTCTTCAACTTTCTTATGAAAAAAATAGAATTCTAGAAAATATGTATATATGGTTGTTACCACTTATTTAATCCTTCTCTATCTCTTTATCATGTGGTTACAGTTAAAATTTAGAGAAAGAATATATATTTACCCGTATATAAACCGATCATGAAAATGCCAACTGTAATTATAGTACTCTTTTTATTCCTTTTAATTGTATTTAGTTAAAAATTATATATATAGACATTAATACGGCTTGCTGCACTAATACATGTTAGATTGAATGTTCTAACATGTTTGAGGACAAAACCTCTGTAAATTCTTAAAAGAGAGGAAAAAGAAGCTGTCTGGAACATTAAGTCGAGATTTTTAAAAAGAGTAAATACCTAAAATGATCCCTCAACTATAGCTAAATTTACAAATTGGTCCTCGAGTTTTAATTTTAACCAATTAAGTCCTTAACTTTGCAATTTTAACACGATTTGGTCCTTCGAACACTTCTACATTAACGCCGGCGCCCGCGCCGTCATCGACGATCTCCAGAAATACCCGCAGCTCTCACCGGAGCACATGGAGGCCTCCAGGATGACGCTGCACCGGTTCGGAAATATGTTGTCTTCTTCACTGTGGTACGAACTCAACTACATTGAATCCAAAGGGAGGATGAAGAAAGGCGACAGGATTTGACAGATTGCTTCCGGCGGTGGGTTCAAATGTAATAGTGCGGTCTGAAAATGCAATTGGAACCTCAAAAAATCGACGATGGACCATGAAATTACATATATATCCTCAAAAATCACAGTCGACAAACGGTCAAATAGACAGAGGACCAAATCGTGTTAAAATTACAAAGTTAAGGACTTAATTGGTTAAAATTGAAAGTCAATGATCAATTTGTGAATTTAGCTATAGTCGATGGACCATTTTGGGTATTTACTATTTTAGAAATAAAAATTCGAAAATTATTAAAATGTAGACCCATAATAATATATCCGAATATACTTCAAATACGGCATCAGATTTCTGCATTATATATGCTGTTTGAAATCTGACCATATCGTGGTTAAATTCCCAGATCTGTTGATATATCAGACATGCATGTTCCGATCACAAAGATCTGTGGAAATTCATAACCATATTGACCCTGAAGGACCTATAAAAACAGGTGATCTGTAAACAATGTGGATCTGCACCATATTTATGTCTGAAAATAAGAGTCACCATGCCAGTGTGGTGTTGTGGTCTGGTCGTGTGGTGTTTTGAGATGGATGAGCGTGCAAATAAAACCCTTGAAAATCCATAGAAAAATACTTACAGATCGATATTTATATGGCAGAGAATGAGACTTCCTTGACCCCAGTTTTGCCAATGCGAGCTCATGTGCTTAATTCTTCAGCGATGAAAGGCCAGCGAAATCAGAAGTGAGGCAGAGTTTCTGAAGAAGCTTCTCGACATGTTTAGCTGTTGACCTCTCATTTATTATTATTAGGGAAAATTGTAATTTATACTCCTCACAAATATGTCAATTATCAATGTCACTCTTGAATTATTAGTGGTGTAAATGTTGTTCCTCAATTTTTAAAACGTGACATATATTGTCCCTCCCCTAATATGAAGAAGGAGAAAAATTGTTGTCGACGGAAGGAGAACAATCAAAGAAAGAAAATTTGAGAAAAAAAACGCGGTCTTCGAACAAGAAAGACGACGTGTATCCACATTTACATCACTAATAACTCAGGAGAAGGTGGATGCATGTCACGTTTTGAAAATTGAGGGGCAACATTTACACCACTAATAATTCAGGGGTAACATTGATAATTGGCATATTTGTGAGGGACATAAATTACAATTTTCACTTATTATTATATTATTATATTATATTATTAGTACAAAATGAAGACGACACGTCTTGGCTGGAGAAGTGTGTATATATTCATTTAATATAATTTGTGTATATATTCATTTAAACCTCAATTATAATTAGTTTGACTTCTACATATATAAAAATGATAAATTAGACATAAAATAAACATAGTTCTTACATAAATAATCTTTTTCAATTGAATAAGTTTGTGGTGGAGATTTTCGACAAGTATTGCGTGTTATTTTATTTACAAATTTTATTTAAATAGGTTAGTTATATAATTAAAGTAGTTATTTCAAATTCAAATAATAATAATACAAGTAACAATAAACTTTAAAAACAACATAATAATAACATAATTAAACTTTTAAAAATATTAAAAATTACATTGTATAGTTATACTTACATTTTTAATAGAACTAATTATGAGTTGAAGAACTTAAGTACGTTTTTCTGTTTTCAGAATCATTACATTCTTTACTAATTTAGAAGATGTCAAAAATTTAATTGGTAAATTTGTTAAATTAATAATAGTTCGTGCATCGCACGGGACAATTACTAGTATATATATATATATATATATATATATATATATATATATATATATATATATATATATATATATATATATATATATATAGAAGAGCGCTCATATGCGGCGGGGTCTTATGGTGCGGCGGTGCGGTCAAATTCCAGAATACACCAACAGTGTTAACAATATGCACCAACAGTGTAATAAAAACACACCCCAATGAAATGTAATAAAACATCACAAAATACACCACAAACTCAAAAAAACACACCATATAACTCACCACCCCCATTGGTGTATTTCCGAACAGTGTATGGTGTTTTTACTCACACCTAATGGTGTGTGTTTGGTGATGCAGGGCTCTGTTTACTCTGTTTTGTGTGGTATATTTCCTAACGTTGATGGTGCATATTTGGTGAACTATTGGTGTTGCCGCACCGTAAGACACTGCCGCACCTGAACCCGCCTATATATATATATATATATATATATATATATATATATATATATATATATATATATATATATATATATATATATATATATATATATATATATATATATATATAGGCCAGGCCTGAAGGCCGAGCCTGGTATATATAGGTCTGGCCTGTTTAGTTTAATAGGCTTTGAAATTGGCTCAAGCTTGGCCTTTTTACTAAACGAGCTAGGCCTAACTAGGCTTTAATTAGGCCTGGACATAGGCCCCTACAAGGGGCCTGGCTTATTCCACCCATAGTTTTGATATAAGAAGGAGAATAAAATGTGAATTTCCTATTTTACCCCTCAAATTTTAAATATTTTTAAATTTTTCCATCAGTTTTAACGGTCGGGGACCAAATGCCCCACTTTGTTCATAACTGAGGGACTAAAAATGGATACGGCCATAATTCAGGGACTGAGTCGGAACTTGGGTATAACTCAGGGACCAAAGATGCAATTTTCCCTATTATTATTATTATTATTATTATTATTATTATTATTATTATTATTATTATTATTATTATTAAAATCATATGGCATTCAGTTCGGTTTGGTTTTTGTCAAATCGTTCGGTTCGGATCGGATCGGTACCAAACCGTTCGGTTTTCTATTACTAGTTCAGTTCGGATAAATTGAACCGAATTGCCCACCCCTAGCTCAAAGTATGTTCTTATACTATAGTGTTTTGTAACTCCTGTTTAATTTAGTCTTTGTACCTTTATTTTGTTCAATTTAGTTCATCTACTTTAAAAACTGAGCAAATACCAATTTTGGTCCTACAAGTATTACCAAAATGACAATTTTAGTCCACATGTTTAATTCCTACCAATTTTCATCCACGACTATTATTTTAGTGACAAAATTCATCACGTTGGTCACCCATTCGTTTAAGGCATGTCGAAAAATGAAATTATTAAAGGTATTTTTCGTCATTTTCAAATTAAGATCCCAATTTGAGCATGAATAAAGGGATTTAAGCCATAAGATCTATCCAATTCGTAGTTCTCCTCCACAAATTAAGGTAGGATGAGGAGAAGAACTGCGAATTGTGGTCGATTTTAGTGCTTAAATCCCTTTATTCTTGCTCAAATTAGAATCTTATGTTGAAAAAGATGAAAATGCCCTTACAATTTTTAGATTTCGGCATGTCTTAAATGGAGTGGTGACCGGGGTGATGATTTTTGGTACTAAAATAATAGTTGTGGATGAAAATTGGTACTAAAACAATAGTCGTGGATGAAAATTGGTAGAAATTAAACATGTGGACCAAAATCATCATTTTGCTAATACTCGTGGGACCAAAATTGATATTTGTTCTTTAAAAAATAGTGAAACTAATGATGATAGTTAACAGTGTTAATATTGCCGTTAACTTAGCTTATGTGGTACTGATATTATTATTGCCACATCATGATATTTATTGACGGTAAATATGTTACCGGAGTATATTTGTATAAGTGAATTGAGACGATTGTATTGCTAAGTGTTTTAGTACAAGATTCAGAATGTCTCCCCCTACTTGTTACATGGGCTCAGCTTTTATACTGTACAATTGTAACGGCTAAAATAAAGGCACTAACGACCTCTTAATAAGTACAACGGCTCCTCATCATAAGTGTCCGGCTCCTCAGTAATTGTTGTGCGCGCTCCTTTTAACTGCTATTTGATGATGCGGCAATGCGTTGGACTCTAAGAACCGTTCCAACTCTTGACCGCTACCCACTGTCCATATTGATGGCTTTGACTATCATCATTGCTCTAATGGGTTAGACCAAGTGCACCGGGTCGGATCCCGTGCTTGTCCAATTATCCTGTCATTTATATTCCAACTGTTGGACAATTTTTAATAATGTCCTCGCAAGTGCACGAGTCAGTGTAGTAATAAGGTGCAAAAGCAAGGGTCGATCCCACAGGGAATTGGTACAATGCAATTTAATAAAAATGTCATTTAATGAACTTAAAATTAAAGTAACTTGAAAAGATAATTGAATAACTATGAAACAAAATAGAAGAAATAAAGACTAGGAACATGAATAAATTACCATTACTAACACTGCGATTTAGGTTCAATATTACCAATCAGTACACAATGTTCATGGTAAATTCACCACATTCTTAGAACAAATTAATTAGCAAATTATGGTTGAGAGATTAAAAACAATTATCTTCTTAAGCAATGTCATTAATAATTAACAGTGAAGAGATTAATCATGGACAACTCAATCCAATCAAAAATTGCAATACCACAATCATTCGAAACCAACCAAATAAATTTACTAAGCAACAAATAATTATATAAACTGAAATCCACAAATTTGTCGTACTGAAAGGGAAGATAAACAATGGAAGGGAAAGAAGACAAGAATACAAAGTCAAACAGTTCTACCAAATTTAATAAGAAACATAATTGACGTTAAAGGGATTTCAACCTGGTTTATATAATTAACAAATGTGAATTGAAGAAATCTAGAAGCCAAATTCAAGAAAAATAGAAAAGAACCAGAAATAATGCTGAAGACTAATTTGCTGAATCAGGTTCGCCGCCGCTGAATGGAAATCTCCTCTGCCGCCTCCGGATTTCGTCCGGAGTTAACTGATCTTTGCTTTTATCGCCTTCGGAATTGATCCAGGGTGAATTGATGATCCCATGATGAAGATTAAGCCTCCCTTTTATAAACCCAACTTAACTGCTCCTCCGGTCTATTCTACGATCGCTCCACCAATCTCGTCGAGAAGTAGCCGCAGAAGACCGACTTTGTGAATGATCCAAGCACTTCGGAGCCGACGCCGGAAATTCCTCCATCTCTTGTTCATCGTTCGCGAGACCGTGCAATGCTTTATTACATGCGTAAGTCGTCTTGGGCCTAACTTAATATATCAAATAATAATAATAATAATAATAATAAACTTATTAGAGATCATATATAACCAATTTACACTTATTAAACTCCTACTGATCATGTACTACTAAAACTAATTAATATTATTATTATTAAATTAGAATTAATGAATTATTGGACTGACAGAATTTAAATAATAAAACAAATTTAATAATTAAAACAACCTACAATTGCATAATATTAACAAAGCTACTAATAACAATAATAAATAAAAATAAATATAAAATTAATTAATTATTACAAATTAACTATAAAAAGATTATTAAAATAACACTAAAAATAATGCTTATCACCAACTTATATATTATTTTATAAATATTTAAAATTAAGTATTTTTACAATTAATATATTACACTAATATGTTCAAAATAAATAATTACAAGCATGTGTCCAAATCTCATTAATTTGGTGGTAAAAATAATTAATTTTAAATATTTATTTTTGGACATACTAATTTAATATATTGTAATTATTTATTTTTGGACATACTAGTTTAATATATTGGTGGTAAAAATAATTAATTTTAAATGTTTATAAAGTAATATATGAGTAGGAATATAAATATCATGATGTGATAATGGTGATGTCAGCGCCACGTAACCTAATTTAACGAAAATATTAACATCGTTACCTATTGTCCTTAATTGCATCACGTTTTAAAGTACAAGGACTCAATT